AGCCAATAATGACGTAATCGTAACCTAATGTCTGTTTTGTTGATGTATTCACTGAACGCCTCAAACACTTAGCCATCGATTCAGTGGTCATTCAATTGGATCCAAATCAATGTCTTTGAGTGCAAACCATAACTGTTTGACAATATCTGGCATTTCGGCGATCATTGCCACCAAAGGACACACAAAATGCTCACAAATAGCCAAACGATTGCCTATTAATCAGTGATTTTAGTGTTAAATGCATTCAAATTATCTATAATTTGAGAAATGATTTACTTCTTGAAAATCACTTTCAATTGATTTGAAGACAATGTCTTTCTTCAGACGCAAAAAAGGTTTGTTTTGAGACGACAATCACGTGACCACTGATTGACTAATGACTTGCTTTGACGGACACAACAGAGACGCGGAACCCGTCGTTGGCGTCGATGCTGTCGATGAATAGCTCTTCGTCTGACTCGGTGTCCATCCAGTCATTGAACGGCTCCATCAATGGTCTGTCGCTGGATGTGACGAGTGGTGGCCAGTCGTGTCCGCCAACGCCTGTGTCATCGAAGTCTGCGGCGAAGTCGAGTGCGAGGACGGCCTCGATATCGACGATCTCTGCCCTGCATTCGCACCGTAACGTCAAACCCGTCCATCAGATGCTTTTGGCGGAGTCTATGTACGAGCCCTCCCTTCCCCTCGTCCTCCACAGTCGCTTCAATCAGACCACACGACAGACACTGAAAGACAACTCTGTGTTTCCGTATTTCATTCAATACATGGAATCGTTGGGAAATGCGACCAAATATTTGATCCGATTTTGGATACAAAGCGAGTGTCTGATTGTGTCCCAAATGAATGTCAACTCAAACACCAGTTTAAGTGATGAGTGTTTGGATGACATTAAACGCCAATTCATCGCCGATTCGGTCGGCATTTACGACAAATACTTAGCCGAGTCTTCGCCCAACGCTATAGACATTCCTCAGGAGATGAAGAGCCAAATCAAGGAGAAGCTGTCGAACAGAAGATCTGAATTGAGTTGCGATCTGTTCGGAAGCGCCCAGAAGTATGTCATCGACGCAATGGAAAGACTGTATTACGAGCCGTTCCTCAAGAGTTCGTATTACTGCAAGTTTTCCATTGACTTTCTGACCACCGATTCGGTCACTTTGCCGGACGTGCTCTTCAATAACACACTCTTAGCCACAAATTTCATTGAATTCATGGAAAGCGAGGGAATGAAGTCATACGTGGATTATCTGATTATGTTTGAGAACTACCGCAAAGTGTCCAACGATTACGACGACGCCATCGCTCTCTTCAATCGCTTCTTCAAAGACAATACGAGCCATACGTTAGGATTCAGTGATAGTTTTGTGATGAGTTTGAGTCAAAAGTTAGTGAAAAATAACTTCAGTAGTGATTGTTTGGATTCTTCGGCCGCTATTCTCATCCAATACTTCGAGAAGACTTACTTAAAGCAGTTCATCGAAAGCCAATTCTTTATCGACTATTTAAACCATTGCTTTCAATCGATTCAAACGGAAGCACACAATCATAAGACCCACAAACGGACTAATAGTGACAGCAGTTATAACAGTGACTGTAGTTTCGTGAGCTCTTTGAGCACCAAAGACACGGAAGGGTCGGCCACTGCCTCCTCGCCATCACCGGCGGCCGCCTCGAAGCACAGGCACGACGACCATCGGTACGACTCGCTGTGGAAGCGGGACTTGAGTGGGAAACTGCAGTTCACTCACGTCGACAAATACGGCCGCATATGGAGTGCGTTAGAGCCGGAGCCGCAACGAGAGGCCGGCCCTCTCGTCAAAGTGATGAAGAGGTTTGCGCTGCACTCGAGTCCAGACAAAGACAAGGAGGAGATCGCCTGGAAGATAGCCACGATGATCATCAACGATGTCAACCACAGCTGCAACGGTCACACCGACACTCACGAGTTGAGCCAATCATAAGTCTAATAAATTGTTTGTTTATTTTCGATGAGAAGAACATCTATTTTCTTAATGTTGTTATTCAACTGCAATACAAATATAAATACCATAAACGTCTTGAATGTTAAATATATATAATTATTTATAATTAATTTTTTATATATGAACTTAAATCTGTTGTTTACTTAAAGCCAAAAGTCATTTTTAGTTTTATCTGTAATGAAATGTTCAGTTTCTTAATTGTTTTTTATGTTTGAATGTATAAAAATAATTATTTTTAATTAACAATTTGTTTGGTTTTGAGTGGAAATGAATAAAATGTTAAAAACCAAAGTTCTGTCCAATCGATTGAAAATCTTTCGAAATTGAAATGAAAAACAATAGAAATTATTATTAAAAATTCCTTTTGGATACACAGTTAGCGTTCATTCACATTGAAATGGCATCAAATAAATTGTATTTAATTTTATTGTTTTCGTCTGACCTCTAAATACAATGAAATTGTTTATAAATAAATAAATAAAGAATTGATGGATCGATAGGACCAGTAATTAATGAATTATATTGTTTTTAAACAAAATATTTTTCGTTAACCCTTTGATATGTTTGTCAAAACAAATGCTCCAATTTTATTGGATATTCGCGTATTAAATATAATATTTATATTTATACGAAGTTTTACCACAAAATTCAAGATCACTCACTATTTAGTCCTTTTCATCGTAAAAGTCATTAATCTTTAGTGAAAATACTTTTTTTGACCTCAATTTTGGCAGAAAATCACTGCTTTTAAAGCAATCGATCTTTTAAACAAACTTTTTATTATTTTAACCTTTCATTCATTTTTATTTAAAGAATAAATTAACAGAATATATGTTTGAAATACTTTCGACTTTCAAAACTTAATGAAAGCAATGTCTAATTAATTTCGTTATGAATTCAATGAAATGCTCAAAATATTAATCAAAATTTATATATTTTTTCTGCATTATTATGACTTTAAGACTTAATAGGCTTAATAATCTATAAAAAAAACGATTTTCACGTTTGAAAAGCATTTGTCAAAAGTAACATAATTTTATTTGTATCGCAAAATGAGTGAATTATTTTATGATTTAATGTAAGAATATTTTGTATGGCAAAGTGAGATTAAATCTATAATTGAAAAGGAATTGCAATTATTTATTTTGATGTTATTTCATTTTTTTCTGCACTAAAGTTATTAAATTTTGTTTGTTTGCATTGAAAGCAATAAATAAATTGATTTCTTCGAGTCTAAGAAACCATAAATTTGAATCTCAAGAGATATGTCAGCGAAATGAAGTCCAGTAAAAGGTATTGATATTAAATGGTAGAAATGCAAAGTAGTCAACACTTTCCTATTGGGAACTAAATGGCTATTAAGATAACACAACTCTTGCTTATAATTTATAACTTACGGTATAAACAAACTCAACATTCAGTACCTTAATATTAAAATATTAACATTAATTCAAATATTATCCGGAATGATTGATTTGAACATATCAATCAATAATTTAATAAGTTGTAAATACAAATTTAAAGAGCTCATTAATATTATTTTAAAAATAAATTTGCAGTTAATAATTGGGTTATTTAGTGATTAACACCAAAAAATGTCATTTAAATAGATGGGATATAAGTCAGAAAATGTCATATGTTAATTAAACTTACAAAATGGACTTATTTTTAACTTTCTTACTTTTACTTATATTTTTAATAACGCTAATAAAATGTTTGAAATATATTTTTGCCGATCCATTGCCGAATTAGAAGTGGTATTATTTATTAAAAATAAAACATTTAAAATAAAATCATTGAAAAGATAGAAAATGTTTCATTAGTAAGAGTTTTATAAAGAAAACTTCAATTTTACTTATAAATTATTTCCTGTCACAAAATATATTTTTTAAAATCTATTTCTAATCAGTATTTGTAGTGTTAAATGTCTTAAAATACATTTTTAATCAAAGTCGTTTTTTAGAGAAATGAGTTTCAAATCAGAGATTCATTAAACTTCGCAAACATTTAATGATATTTTTTTGAAACGTTTGAAAAAAAGTTTAATAATGAGGACAAACGATAAGATCAATAGTAAAGAGACAGTAAAATAATTTTTGTATATATTTGTGCCGTCAATACGAGAAAATATCTTTAATTTTGTCTCAATTTTTTCCTTCAAATGGACTGAAAATTTAAACTCTGATCTAAATTCTCAAAAAATAAGTCATAAAAATAGATCAAAATTAGAGGTCAATCAAGACTTACATACACACAGACTGTGAGTCTAAGAATTTAATCAATTTTGGAAAATATTTCACTGTCTGTAATATAAATGCATTTTTTATATTGCAAGACTATTTAATTAAAATTTATTTTATGGTTTATTTTTATTTAATTAACGATAATTACAAAACACATACAAATTGTAAGTATAAATATTCATGAATAAGGAAAACAATTTGAGTTATTATTACGGAATAATGTGAACAAAATTAAGATATTTCCTAATCATAGGAGTAATTAATAAGTTATGAGGGATTGTCGAGTGAGGGGTGATTCCCGATGAACTCCCCTTCAGATTAAGATTAAGAGGCATACAATGAAAACACAAATATAGGTTAGGCTCGGAGTACCGGATTTTGGCTTTAGATCGACCTTCAAATGCCAGCCCCCTCTAAGAGCTGGTGATTCCTGGTTTACATATTTATTGCTCACTTACTAAGACTATTAATAAATGTTTTTCTCACTTCGAACCGAAAATTCTGTATAATTTTATTATAATATTTATGATAATATTCTCTATGAATAGTTTAACAGTAGATCATAGCCTTGAAATCGATTGTACTTACGGTACAGTAAGTTATATTAAATTATGGAAATAATCCAATAGTTAAAGTAATTTTAGAATTATTGATCCAAAGCTAATAAATTCATTATGAAATCAATTATATGTTGCGTTTAGCTTTAATCTAAACAAACGCCTCAACAGTTTCTCAAAGATTATTTATTTATAGAAATACTTTGTCTAAAAACCACATTTTTATCTCTATTTTCAAAGTCCTAATGAAGACATCATTGCGTCAATTGATTCAAATCTGATTAGTTTTTGGAGTTTATCTAGAATTTAATCATTTATGTCATTCAATGTTATAACAATTGATTGAATAATGCTTTTTCAGATTTCTTAATATTTTCAATACTTTATAATTCTATTAAATAATCATTTTATATACTTTTATCGATCAATAGATGATTACAGTAAATATAGTTTTATAAATATATCACAGAATTGATTAGATATTTGAATCGATTTTTTCAATGATATACTTCTTTCTCAGTGAAAATATCTTTGAAATTCAAAAAGACCGTTAAAATTGAAATTATAATATTCAATACTTTTGTTATTTTTTAATCTATTAATAGTTATGGAAAATAACTACTGTATTATATTACAAACTCAGTTTATAAATTGTTTAAATCACTAAATTGAATATCATTATTATTAATCAGTTAATTGATACTTGTTTTATTTATTCAGCTAAAAATAATCATTATAAAAATACAATTCATTTTAAATCATCATATTTTCAATGTTTTCTAAAATATATTTTAAATAAAACACCAAAGTATTATTATTAAATTAAATTTATTTGTTTATTAATAAAATTACTTTACATTGATTTAAAAATAAATAAAATTATTTAGTAAAAACATAAACAATTAGTGTTCATATTGGAAACAAATGGCACCGGAATTAATTGTCTTATATTTATTTACACACTTATAATACAATCAAAAATAAATAAATAGATTCGACACTTAGTTGTCATCCAATAGAATATTCATTAAGTAATAAAATAATTGGATTCATTTGTTAATTACAAATATATATAATATATATAAGACTCTCTCTGTTATCAGAATAGTGTTTCACATTTCTTATCTCTATTTCTCAATTAACTCTTTTGATAATTAATTCATTTCATTAAAAATATATAAATTTAATTAATTTGAAAGACAAGAGCCACAGAATTATTTAATACTTATAGTGAAGTCATTTTCAGTCATAGTTAACGACAACACTTGAATTCTCGCTGAATCCGTGAGATATCTCTTGTATAGGACTGAGTGGTGTCTTATTTGTAAGCCGGGTCTCCGCCAAGAATGATGGCCTCTTCGTTAGCATATGCCTCGAGTCGGTGTATGTCTTGAGGTGAGTGTCATTGAAATTCTCGAGCGATTGCCGTCTCTTCAGAGACTTGTTGCCATTGTTTTTAAGGACAACGATTGGGGAGCAGCTAAGAGGAGCTGAGAAGCGCCGTTGGCTTCTGTACAGCATATTTGATGATAGACTGGAGGTTATGAGCAGTGAATTCCAGCCCTCTCTCAGCGATGACTGCGATCTCAGCGATAATCGGCGGTCAATCTCTATGGACGCCTGTTGTTCGTACAGATATCGCTATATATCATAGAAATCAATATAATTTGCTTTAATTTTATTTGTATTATATAAGAAAATCACTATTTTAGTATTCAATTTCCAACTTAAGTGCTTTTAAGTAATATCGAAATGATATTTTCATTATTCATTCCGATAACAAAAAGATCACGTTTTTCAGCCTCACATCAAACATTTATGTAATCGACAAAAATTTCATTAACTACTGCAGCACTAAATGAGTTTTCATTAGTTTTGCTCAATACATGCACTGCTATTAATACAATTCACATTCTAATATTAGCTTTAATTAAACCAAATTAATAAAAATAATAAGTTATATTGTCCTTTGTTTGGATCTCTCTCTCTCTCTCTCTCTCTCTCTCTCTCTCATGAATCAAATGAATGTAAAATAAAGATAATATGATTGCATACCTGTAAAAGTCGTTTAAAGGTTTTTCTCAAAGCTTTACTCTTCACTCCATAGACATATCCGTTGACTATAGGAGTGAATGAAAGGATGAGCGTTGAGATTGAGGTCCAGTAGTCGTCATATGGTTTGTTGGCAAACGATTTGTAGGCATAAATCGTATAATAAGGGAATGTTAGGAATATGAGAGATCCGACTAATTGCAGTACAGCCAGGAAAGCGTGTCGACCCTTATATTTGAATAAATAGCTGGGACTGGACTGATGGGTGACAGTGGCCTGGGCTCGCATTGTGATCTCATATATGGCTGAGACTATGCGGTGCCTGTGGTTGTGGGCTATGATAGCGATGTGTGCGTTACAGACCGTTATGACAATTACCGGTACTATAAAAGCCGTCAAATATAAGACCATATAATAGAACTCGAAGAATGAGTCTTGAGTTCGGGAACAGATGACTACACACCCGCTGTGACTCAATAGGAACCGGTAGTCACAGACCCCCATCAGCGGCGGCAACAGGAATGACACCAAACACAGCCAAATACACATCAATATGATTGCCGTCTTTCGCACATTTATGAGTCGCGAGTAACTGAGTGGTCGTATGATTGCCACATACCTGTCCACTATGAGACCACAAATGGTCCAGATGATGCACAGTGGGAGTACTGTCCAGAGAGCACCCTGGGCACTGCACACCCACTCGTCTATACTCTGCTGGTTGTAGACAAACGACGAGTTGGTGGCTATGAGTGCCGATATGTCGTGGACAGGGATGTGCTGACTTAGACTCATAGGAGTGTTGGCGATGAGTATTAAGAGACAGATCGCGGTGTCGGCCAAAGCCATGAACAGTAAGAGTATGTTATTTACAGTGAGTTTAGAACAGATTAATACGAAAAGTATGTATCCGTTGAATATGAGGCCCACAAAGGCTACCATAGCCTCACAAATCACATTAAACATGTATATGGGCTCTGAATTTGACATTTTCGCTCACAAGTCCAACAAATCTCTATTCACTTCTGATATTTCCAAACAAATTACAGCAAAAAATCTGCGGTTTTATTAGTTAGACAAACATTTATGATGTGACAGCGCTTTCCTATTCAGAAGTTTAGAGAGTTTGAGAGTTGGCTTCACTTGGAAATCGTTGGCAAACATTCACAGCATTTGTATAGTGAGTGAATTGAAGTGCATTTGAAGACAATATAATAATGAGATTATAATAAAAAGTGGAGATTTACTTATAAGCCTCCAGTACTACCAACTCATATACTGGTAGACCATCTCATTGGAAGTGACTTTATTCAACACATCTCTGAAGCAGTGTATGTGCGGTGGATATGATGTGTATGCGTACAGACACACAGACACTGGATGTATGGTATGGTAGGTATGGTATGGTATGGAGTGGAGAATGTTGTGGAGAAAAGTGCACTCAAAGAATGTAACTGTTGTTTGCAAACAGCGATACATAGGAATGAAATGTTGAATATAATGCACACCGACTGGTGTATCGGTGTATAACGCTATGGAAAAGTAGTATATCGTGAAAGAGTTGCCCGGTTTGTAGAAAATGTTTGCAAATGTTTTGAAATATCGTCCCAAAAGAGGTCAAACTTATTGTTAAATTCACTGAACAGTACAGAAGGCTGTTATGAGTTCTGGTCCAACACTCGCAGTATTTTAGACGATATACAAGTGAGTAGTTATTATAACCGTTAGTTAAGTGCTAACAAGTGGTGTACTGCACGGGCACAGGGCTCACGACTAACTAAACAAAACTTTTGAAAAACTTTTTTGTTTGTGTCGCACAAGTAGTTTCGCACCATTGGGTCGGTGCAACTCAAACACTGCCTATTTGTAGTGCCATTGAGTCGGTAGAAATCACTTCAGCAAAAAAGAAATCAATTTTTAAATATAAACTTTTAAACACATCATTCAAACACAGAGTCAAACATTCATACCATTCATACATACAATTAAAATGCTTTTGCGACGAATGCCTGAAACACACAACACTTGACTGACTGAGCGCTGGAAAGGCAACCAAAGACCGAAGTGAGTGAATATATGTCAGTGAAAGTGGCACTACGTTTGTGTTGAGGGCTTTTGCTTTTAAATTACCACTTCTTTTATATTATATTAATAGCCAGAAGCTGTTCACTAACTTCACTGCAAACCAACAAAAAAATTGTTTTCCACACTCTTATTGCCACCAATTCTTTGATCACTTAATCGCAGTCCAAATACCAACACATAGTTTGCATCTGAAAAACAGTACAAACTTTTTTTCTATCCCAAAACATAATTGAATACCTGAAACATAATATTAAAGTCAAATTAATATAACATTTAGTACATTGCATAATAACATATTTGAATAAAAAGGCCTAAATATTAATATGGATTACAAACAATAAAATTCTAGATTTCTATCGCAAAATATAATTAGGAAGTGATAAACATTAGTATATCAATGAAAACACTGATGAGTCCCTCAATTACAGATCACATGAAAAGGAGTTGTGAACCAATTGACTAAAAAACGGGTCAAATAATTGAAATCATATGCCAATTGATTGGTATGTGTATCGTGTTTGCAGTCTATTTGCTTAAATTGATTGCACCTAATATTTGCATATCATATGCCAATCATAAGCACTCGTGTATTTCATTAACAATCGATATTATATATAGACTTTATTTAATGAAAACGTATGCCATTTCTCAGATATTATACTTCATTATAACGGTGTATAACGACATACTACTGGATATTATAGCTATAGTTATAGTTATAATAAAACAAAAGCTTTTTTGCCATCGATTTTGTCTGGTGTGCGGACGTGTGTGGATCTGGATGTCAAGGGCATCACACCATTACACCATTGCGTTTATATCATCCATAATATACATTTCATCTCTATTTCATTTTTTATATCATTTTTATTTCGAAATTCTTTGCACAATATTTCAATATTTCATTAAATTTTCTTTTATATAATACACCAGAAAAGGCATTATCTCTCAATTCTCTCTTTATTTATAATTCAATTATTTATTTTCCAATTGTGTTTTAAGTATCACTTTTTATAGACAACCTTTCATTTATTTATTTACTTTTCTGGAAAATTTACTAATCATAATAAAAGTATGTCCAGTGTTTTAATTGGATTAAGAAAATTAAAATCATTATTAAAACACGTTTTTTCAGGTATTAATAAAAATGAATTTTTTTAATGACAAATGATGGGAACAGTTGCGTTTGTTTTTGTCACAAAAGTTTTATGAATAAATGAATTATGATATTAAGTGGAAAGTTTGTATATAAGAGAAAATATTTTGACTTATGATTTGCGGTAATCTTATTAGTTATGGCACTCGTCTATAGCCTTGTCCTAAACACCAATTTCTCAGCGACTTTTGATTTGATAAGCAAAACAGATAAACATTTTTTATTAGTAATGTAATAATCAGAAAAACATAATATTAATTGAATATTATTCAAAATAATGCACATAACATGTCAAGGCTTACGCACGCATTGCTGTTGAGAAATATTATATTTTACAAACTTCTCTGACATTTATTAGCGAAAAAAGTAAACTCTTTTTTTGTGAGTTTGCGATTCAGTTTAATAATTAAAGGAAAAGGATCTCATAATTGCATTACATTTCACTTTTTATTATTCTTTTTACAATTTACTTTTAAAGTATGTCATTGACTTTGTATAATGAGTTAAAACACAAACAACAAAAAAATTAAATTCAAAAAATCTATTCAACTGAATGTCTTCTGAAAATTGTCGTATTGTTCACAAAATGCTATATTTATTTGAATGCTTGTAATTTAAATCATTTGTGAAAATATACTGAGACATGAAATGTTGGGGTCTATGGAGTGGGAAGTGTATCTAAAAATTGCTATGTATTTATAATTCGACAACATTTGGCAATTAATGTTAAATATCAAAGGTATGTCTCGATTACAATGAAATGTGTGATAAACGACAATAAAGTTATTTTGAACAAAAGCCTAAACTTTTTAAGTTTAGAAAAGTTTTTATAAATAAAAATAAGTTTTTCATAAAAGTGTAGCAAAGCTTACAATTTACACAAAAACTCTGGTTTTTCTCATTTCCTTAAATTACATTTGAATTCTAATTAAAATAAAACAGACTTTAGATGTTATACTAAAAAATCACGTAAAGTATTAAATAATTAAGATATTAATTTAAAATTAAATCATTAATTGGCTAAAAAAGGAAAATAAGGTTTGTGATTACGTAATTTTAACACAATCTGAGTTAAATTAAATTTTATTTTTAATTACAAATCTCAGTCCATATCTTTATTTCTGCTATTTTTAGACTTTAATATTAAAAAAGCTTTAAATCAAAACTGAAAATTATAATAAAAATATTTAAATCATAATAACGAGTCGGAAAGGAATATTTCTTAATTTTAAACATTATACAGATTTTTACAAAAATAAATTCAAATGTGATTCACATATAATTGCCGCCAAAGTCATCAGTAAAACAACAAAAATCACTGAATCGGACATTGAGTTTAAAAAATATGGTATTAAATGTGTGCAAAATATACTCTTTCGGCGAAATATATTCCGCAAATTGATAGCAATTATGTAATACAATATACATAAAGTTATAGCAAAATGTGTTTCAAAATTAATACCAAAAAAATGAATGAATAGTTGACTGAATTTTGTTGTGAAACTCGTTCTCTCCCTCTAAACAGTTCCGTAAAGTAAATGAAATCACGTAATCATTATTGTATAGCAATCAACAAAAATACGGTTTTATAGGAAGAGTTGTTTCAATTAATTTATTGTTCCGGAAAAACCTTGAATTTTATATATATTTTCAATCTTTCTTACCTGTATTTTATAGTTTTTTGGGGAAAATCTTTTATTTTTATTTTAATAAAACGTTTTTTATTAGTTTTTATCAAACTTTTTTCTTAAGAATTTTATTTAAATCCATAACAAAATTATAAAATTTTAGCATAACGCCAAATATTAATAAATAAACGCTATAAATAATAATCATACATGTAAGTTATTGCAAAAGTTTGTGCTTTAGTTTAATCTCCTAAAAGATATATTATTAATAAAATGTGGGGTTAAATGACTTATGTTTTAGTTATTCTATACCGTATTGACAGACATATGATTGGAACCAAATTAACGCCAAAATTTATGTATAAGTTTTGTAAGAAATGTTTATTTTAGTGGTTTTCCAGTTTAATTATTTTAAGCGTTCAAATCATTACAAAAGCGAACAATTTTTAAATGCGCTTAAAATATGGTATAAACACCATATGATTTAAATGTTTGCATCTAATCCTTACCAGAATTAAGTAAACATGTGTCGAGAGAGAGAGAGAGATGACTTTCTTTAATAAAAGTTATTTATGAAGTCATTCAATGAAATTTTAAAGTATAAAAATAAGAATATTTTGTAATTATTTATATTGTATGCACGCGAACAGCATATTCAGTGTTTGCTCTACAACTCATTAATTGAACACATATTCAACCAGAAATTGTATTCAAAGTTAGCTAAACTTATGTAAACTTCAAAACCACGTTCCAGAGGCGGGTTAGCACTGGATTCACATGAAGTAATTGAGAAAAATTAAAATTAAATGTTTCTAAAGACATGTTTTGTACGATAAAAGTAGACTTATTCCTATGAATTACTTTCATGCAGTGAATAGCGTATTGAATGCATGAATAGTAGTAATGCATGAAAACATAGTGTAGGAGTCTTTTGCCAATAAATTACACCAATTGACGAACAAATATGATATATATTTACACTTAAAATAGAACTCACTTTCAGTTTATTAAACAGTTATTAGTATTTGTTTTGCACTCATTTGAGTGAAACATAATTTTAATGGTTGAACACAATTTGTATTTTACACCATTTCTCGAGTATTAGTTGTTAATACGTTCAA